ATATATATATATATATATATATATATTTAAAAAAATGTAAAAACAATAAAAAGACAAAAAAAACAAAATGATAAAAACAACAAAAAAAAATGATTGAAATAGGGGTTAGGGATGCCATTAGACTTTCCCAAAAATATATAACATTTAACTTTACAAGTATCGAATGATTAAAATTTTAGATGTAATAAATCATATCGATGATAAAATATACAAATTTATTGTATAAGATATATTTGGAGGTTTTTCCATTTCCTCTTATATTTTCCTTTATTTTAGAAAATAATTTAGCATAGCAATTTCAGCAAACTTTTTTTTGAATCTTGATTTTTTTTTAAATAGTATAATTGTTGAAGATGTTCTTAAATAACGGTATTACTTTTGCGGGTTAAAAGGTCGGTGTTTGAAAAACTTCGCCTACAAATGATTAGCAATTAAGCATGGGAATGAACCCGTCCCATTGGAGAACCCGATTTACCCGTCCCGACTGGCCCTGGAATTCCCTGCAAAACCTGGGAGCAAGGATGACGACGAGAATCCTTTTTAAAAAATGGGAATGGGGATGGGTAACATGATCCCGCCTCATCCCCATATATATTTAGGGGTCGTTTACCAAACATTTACCCGGGTAAGCGCTTACCAAATCACATTACCTTACCGGATAAATATTCTAAGCACTAAAAATCTTACCCAGTAAGAGCAAGACAATGACCATGAGTCTTACCCGGTAAGTGAGAGCGATGACTCTTACCACGGTAAGCGCTTACCGGGTGAATTGTTGCATACAATGTCGTTTTGAAGAACTAAAATCTTACCAGTAAGTAAATAATAGTGTTAAATTTCACCGGTAAACACTTATCGGGTAAGTGTTTGGTAAACGGCCCCTTAATATATTGTATATTTTTTACTAAATATATTATTTATAAGGAATTAGATTTTGCATTTTTTAAATTTAGAAAACAGTATATAGATCTTTCTTCTTTGATGCATTTTCTACTTTTCTTACTCTTTTAGATAAGAAAAACATGCAAACACAAAAGCGTTTGATCAAAAAATTGCGTATGATATTGTGATTATGTTTACATATGAATATATATGATACTCTATAAGGGCAAATTTTAGGCATTTAGGCATGGTTTTATAACATACTATTCAACTAAAATTCATATTTTGAGAAATTAGCTTTTCCACCCAAACCATTTGTAACGTTTTTTATTTTGTTGTTAAATACTTTTTTTAAAACCTACTTTTAGGTTCACGTATATTACATGGGGTAATTTGAAAAATTAAATCATGTCAGGAACTTATCTTACAAATATGAATGATTATTGAAAGTACGATGCTACTTCAGACTTGTACTCTTGAAATAACTATGAAGTATAACATTGAAGAATAACTCTGAAAAATGACTCTTCAGACTTGAATTTAGAAATGAAACTATATCAATAATCATTTAAATTGAAGTTAACCCTAGAACAAAATTAAATTTAGAAATGAAACTATATTAGTAAATTGAATTTAAACTTAGAAGTAAATTTAAAATGACTCTTCAGACTTGTACTCTTGAAATAACTCTGAAGTAAAACTCTTTAGACTTCAGAGCTCTGTATAGGCAAACTCTACATGCACTATGCAAAGGCTCTGCATGCACTATGCAAAGGCTCTGCATGGTGTTCCATCTAGAAAAGAAGACTTCAGAGTTCGGGTGAGCTAACTCTGAAGAATGGGTGAACTAACTCTGAAGAATGACTCTTCAGACTTGTACTCTGGAACTCTAAAGAATGAATCTTCAGACTTATACTCTTGAAATAACTCTGAAGTATAAAATCAATCCCACTAAATCAGAGTTCAGACTTCTAAGTCTAAAAAAAGACTTTAGAGTTCGGGGTGAGCTAAGTCTGGAAAAGAAGACTTCAGAATTCGGGTGAGCTAACTCTGAAAAATGACTCTTCAGACTTGTATAAGACTTCAGAGTTCAGACTTTTAAGTTTGAAAAAGAAGACTTCAGAGTCCATACTCTAGAGTTCGGGTGAGCTAAGTCTGAAAAGGCAGACTTCAGAGTTTGGGTGGGCTAACTCTTCAGAATGACTATTCAAACTTGTACTCTTGAAATAACTTTGAAGTAAAACTCTGAATAATGACTCTTCAAACTTGAATTTAGAAATAAAACTATATCAATAATTAGTTAAAATGAAGTTAACTATATAATAAATTTGAATTTAGAAATGAAACTATATTAGTAAATTGAATTTAAACTTAGAAGAGCGTTTGTGTCAAATTTGAAGACGAAGTCTGAAAACCTTGAGTTCAAAGTTATTCAAATATCCAATATATTTGAAAAAGATCTCATGGTAAAGTTTACATCATACAGAGCAAGACCAACCAGAGCTCTTTTGGTCTTTAAGGACCAAAGCCCCTGTGGACTCACCAACCAAAAACAAGGCCAACCAAAGGCCCTCTGGTCAACCAGAGTCTCTGATTCGTCTATCCAGAGCCTCTGGGTCAAAAAAATGTTAAATACTTGAGAAATTTGAGTTCCAATTACAATCAAGGGACCTCTGGTTAAACATGAAGACCAATCAGAGCCCATCTGGTTCCTTTATGATGGATTTGAATATTTTTTTCAAGGTTCAAATAAACAACCAGAAGCAAATCTATCTAGAAGCCAGACCAACCAGAGGGGCTTTGGCTTACAAGACTAAGTCTAAGTCTTAAAGACTTATTTTCAAAGTCTAGATAAGATCAAAACCAATTCCATTTGAAATTGTCATGGGACTAAGCACGACGCCAACTATCGATACCGATGACACTTACTCACAATACGATGATGATTAGGAACTCGACATTGATGACCTTGATGACCAAGAGGCCATTAAAAGAATTCAAGAGATCGGAACTCTTCAAGTCAATCTGACATGAGATACACATGATGAATAAATGTATTTTCAAATAATTGAATATTTGAATGTAATTTTAATTATAACAAAACGCATTTTTAAAATATATTTGGATGACCCAATTACAAATTTTATAATGTATTCAAAAAATTTATAATTTAAAAAATTAACAAAAAAAATTAGGTAGGGACTGGGACCAGCTACTCATAACCGGTTACGAGTAAGGTTAAACGGGCTCGAGATTTTTGATCGGGATTGGTTATGATCGTTACTGTTCTTGCCCGGGACCGTCTTCTGTTCGGTCCAATCGGACCCGGGACTGGTTTTTGGCCCATCACTAATTTCAAGTTTGATGACATGGCAATTTACAAGTGGCATGTGGATGGTGGGGATTTTATATGGTGTGGACTAGGCTTTACTCGGCAGAACGTGCCTCTTTTTCCAAACGTTGATTTTTTTAATTAAATCAACGGTCAACGGCTCAGTATGCAAAGACCAATTCTTTTCACAACTCTTTATAGAAAATAGAGTAAATTACGTTTTCCATCCTTGGGGTTTGTTAAAAATAGCTGATTTTGTCCTTATGGTTTTAAAATTTCAGTTTTAGTCCCTATGATATGTAATTCATTTTCATTTTCGTCCTTAAGACCAAAATAATACTTTTTAAGTATGATAAATTAAAATAGAAATAAATTGAAAAATCATTGGAACAGAAAAAACAATAAACTTTAAATCATAAGAACATGAAAAATAATAAATTATAAACAATAAAAATGAAAATTGTAATTTCAAAACTTAAGGATGAAAATAGAAAATATTTCTAACCATAAATACTAAAAAATAAAAGGAGAATTTTCCATAAATTTAAAATTTTGTTGTACGTATATATAATATATTTATTGGGTCAAGTTTAGAGAAAATAGTAAAAACGTAAATACTGAGAAATACTCTCATAATTACTTATCTGTATGATATGTACATGCGTATACAATAATTTTTTTAGTATGCACATACATAAAAATTATAAAACATCTTCGATTATTTGTATTCGCATGTGCATACGTACAGATGAACGGTTTATTAAGGTGTTCCTCAATTAATTGCTTTTTTAGAGGTTTTTTCCTAAACTTCACTCTCCATATTTATATAGAGTTACTACATGCGAGTATATTCATATTAATATATTTACTACATTATAAGACATTTATCTTATGTTTTTAAAATCCAAGTTTACAACTTATTAAAATGTACATAATTTATTAAATCTCTACAATTTAACTTCATAAAATTAACCAATAAATACGTTCAAATACAATAATAAGTGTTGAAATTCAATTAGAATTGATCCAATGATGAATATTTTTTCTGACGTTTCTCAGCATAACTTTCATTTGTACCCAACTCAATTATATATATAGGGGCCAATTCAAATGAGAACTGATTAGTTTGTGGTAACAGTGAGATCCAATGTAAACCATTCGTTTGAGATATTTAAGGATGTTTTTTAAATAAATTAAAAGAGTAATATAGTAATTCTATTTTTGACAACGAATCAAAATATTTACTTAAATTTTTTAAAAGAAAATATTTAATTAAAATTAGTTACTTAGTATATTAATTACCTAATATACATCGTATTTAAAAACGTTTGTGAATCAAAGTGTATCATAGTGACAACGTTCACATGTATCACAATTTATTTTTTTTGTTTATGAAATGTATCATGATATGCATTTTCGTTATTTTCATTGTTTTACAAATGGTATCACATTATGCATCTTGTATGCATATCTGGGTATCAAAGTGAATATCATTTGTAATTATCACAATGTATATCTTGTGTTCACATAAGGTTTGCCGGAGAGAGAAAATATGAGATATGAGAGAAAATATTTATAAAATCCCGAAAATACCCTTAATTAATATTTTAAGTTAAAATTATCAAAATTATTAATTTTCTAATTTAATGTTTGATTTGTAATTGATATTGAATCTTACGATTACCACAAACAAAAGAGTTTCATTTATATTTATATTTATATTTATATATATTATTAGACGTCGACCCTTTTGAAAATATTTTTGTCATGGAAATAAAAAAAATACCAATATTAATTATTTTATTAAAAGTCAACAACCAATGAGCATAAACACCATTTCAAATCCCTCCTCTTTCTCTTTCTCTTCTCCTCCAATTCCATGGCCATTCATTTATGGTTTCTGATTCATCTTCTCCTAATCCTTCTCTCTACTATTTCCGTCTCCAGCAACGGTAACATTTTTCTATCATTTCTCTTCAACTCATATTCAATTCATCTCCATAGCTCACATGAAATGTGGGTTTTTGATTGGTTTTCTTTGCAGTGTTCGTGAGCATCAATTGCGGGGCTTCGGGTTCTTACACCGATGAAAACTCAATCGCGTGGACAGGAGATGCTGATTTGATCTCCAATGGTGTTCCGCACACCGTGCAATCTAATTACTCGATATCTCCTCTTTACGACACCTTGAGGGCCTTCACCACCCGTAGAAAGAATTGCTATTCGATAGAAGCGGAAGAGGGGGGGAAAGTTTTGGTTCGTGTGGTTTTTAACTACGGGAACTATGACGGAAAGTCAACTCCTCCGATGTTCGACCTTCATCTCGATGGGAACTTTTGGGTCACCGTGAACACTTCGCAAGCGATATATTACGAAGCCATTTATGTCGTGAAACGGAAAGTTATTAGCATATGTGTGGCACAAACAAACCCGAACCAGTTTCCGTTCATATCGTCTCTTGAAGTACGTAGCGTCGACCCACGAGCGTACAACCACATCGGTCCGAATTATGCGCTATTCAGGAACATAAGGAATGGTTATGGCTTAAATGAAACCATAAGGTATGCAATTCAATTTTTGGGTTACAATTAAATCTTACGTCGTCAAAAAGGTACAAATCTTTTTACTTAACATTTCACAAGTCAGGGGTATTTTCGACAATAGCCCCTCTTTCGAGATTGGTAAGGCTTGTGTACATCTTAACCCCCCCCCCCCCCCTCCTCCCCAAAGGCTCAAACCCTGCTTTTGTTGTTTCGAGTGAGATCTACCGAATCTGATTAGTGCAAACTCTTTTAAACTTTTAAGGTTTCCGACAGACCCTTATGATCGAGTGTGGAATGACGTAAACATTGGTAATGGACTACGACGTGTCGTTAATGACGCATCTTTTATCAATGCTAATACGTCCAGTAATCCTCCTCAAGCGGTCTTAAAAAGCGCAATCACGCCGGTGAACGATACTGACTTCATATCCTTGGGATTGGATACCATTGCATATCCGTTTCATTATCCAATGTACATAAACTTCTATTTCATTGAAGTCAAACAACTCAATGCTACAGAGACACGATCTTTCAGAATCTACATAGACGCTGTACCATTCTCACTCCCGATTGTACCCCATTTTGGAAATGCAACCGAATATTTCATCTCTAATCTTTCAGTCACTGCCGACACTAGTTTTCATATAGTCGGTACCGGTGGTTCGATGCTTTCCCCTCTCCTCAGTGCCATCGAGATTTTTTCAATCAGTAATGCTCTAAACAATGGAACCAACAACAGTGATGGTATATTTTTTTTATCACGTGTCTAATTTTCTTTTCCAGTATAATTTTATACGCCATAATTTCTTATTATATAAACCTCCTCCTTGATGGATGCGAGAGTAGTACGATGGTGACGCTTCAAAAGGTGAAGTGTGTGTATATATATATATATCTTCAATTTGGATTTGGTGAAGATTTATTTTTACAGTTTTTACCATAATTTTTCTTTTAATCGAAACTCAACCCTATATATAAATATATATATATATAATTCTTTTTATTATATGTTTTTATCTATTTATACAGTGGAGGGTTTAATTTCTCTGCAAAAGGCATTTGACGTTTTACAAGAATGGGGTGGAGACCCGTGTCTTCCGGCGCCATATTCATGGGATTGGATAAAATGCAACAATGATTCCGTACCCCGCGTAACATCACTGTAAAACCCGTCTTTCTCTGTTTCTTAAATAAATAAATAAATATTAATTTAATTTTGATTTTGATTTTTAATTTTAATTTTGATTTTTAATTTTAATTTTAATTTTAATTTTAACAAAAATGTAAATGATTTTTTTCTTGCAGAAATCTTAATAGTTTCAACCTCTCTGGACGACTTCCAGACTTTCGTAACATGGATGCTCTTGAAATAATGTGAGTCTACAATTTAATTAAATAATTATATATTATTAAATTTATGTATTTATTGTATTAAATAATAATTATTTATTAAATTTTATAAATCTATTTATTTCTGCAGAGATTTACATAATAACAGCTTGACTGGACCGGTACCTGATTTCCTTGGCACCATGTTGAATCTTAAACAACTGTGAGTTTTTAATCCCATTTTTTGTGGTTTATATATAGGGGCTGGTTCAAATATTAACCAAGATTATCGTGTTAACTTTGTTAACCGATCTTGGTCGTTGATTTGAACATCCAACCGTTTTTATTTATTGAGACTAAAAATTTAATTATTTAATTACCATATTAATAAAAAATTAGGTTCACAAGGTTCAGAGGGTAGAATTATAAAAAAGCGAATGATCTTAACGTATCATATTTTGTCAGCCTATTCTGTAATTTCCAATCAATAAAAAAATCGTCAATCTCATCGATCAATATCTTAAATCAGTAACTAAAAATTAGGTTCATAATCTTCATCAAAACAATGRAGGATTTGGAAGGATTACCAGGCGACGACATCCAGATAAGATTGAAACATGTGTGTGAACCTAATGAACAATTGAAAAATTAGGTTCATAATCTTCATCAAAAAAATGTGTAAACCTAATGAACAATTGAAAAATTAGCTTCATAATCTTCATCAAAACAATGTGTAAACATAATGAACAATTGAAGCATGTATGTGAACCAAATGGACATATTGTGTGAACCAATTGAACACATATGTGCACGAGTGAACATATATGTCGACGTTTGAGTGAACATGTGCGTGAACGGTTTGATCATTTTCTTCACTTTCGGAATTCGAATTCCGAATGTATTCGTAGACGCTTTTAGCTTTTTTATTCTCATTGTCGTCGATCTGTTTTACTCTATGATTATCCATATTACTCAGACTATAACGGAATCTTTACAAAAGGGATTTTTTTGAAATTTACGATATCAAAACTATTGTAGGAAAAATGAAATGTAAAAATCAGTAAGATGAACAAATGTAAAACTTCATATCATTATTACATGAAGATCAATTAGTGATATTTTAAGATTTGTAACTCCCAATTAAAATGTTGGGGAGTTACATAAAAATGACAAATTACCTAAATACTCTTATACTTAATATGTGAGTTACATTTGAACCTAACTAAAAGATGGAACATTATTGGTTGATGTTGGTTAGCATAGTTAACACAAAAAAATGGGTTAGTATTTGAACCAACATCTCTCTCTCTCTCTCTCTATATATATATATATATACATATACAAATAAATAATTAAATTACATTTTTATTAATCGGTTATTACAAAACAATTTTTTTTTACATTTTTTAAAACCTTATTGTATACAATCTTAAGAAATCCCGTCCCAAGCACCCCTAAGGATTTCAAAATCCTATGTTTGTAGGAATTCAATTAAATCCTAGATTTCGAATCCGGAAAATCTAACAAACTAAACATGAGATTGAAATGGATTTGAAATCCAAATGCCTCCAAATTCATTACATTTCTACAAACCAAACGAAGCTTTAATTTTTTTTTTTTGGAAAAAGTGTTCTCTTCTTTTCTTCTCTAAACTAATTTACTTATTTGAGTATTAACCATCAAATATTAACCTCTCAACCCAAACCAATCGGCAACGGTTGGTTTAGATAGGTTTGGGTTATACTTTCTAAAAAGTTGGGTTGAAAATTCATAGACGGACTTAGGGGAGTGGTTAGGTGGCATGTGCCACCGTATTGTTTCTCTGTAGTAAGGTAAAAAAAATTAGGTTCGTAAAAGATGCAACCGTTTTATTCTAGAAGGTGCAACCGTTTTATATGGTGCAACCGTATCCAAAAATTCTTGGGTCCGTCCCATTGAATTTTTTTAAATCGACATCATTGAGTTGGTTTGTTCAAATATCAAAACCCAACCAATATGCACTCCTACACGGAAGATCAACTATTTCATTAATTATTTTATGATGAATAATGTTAAAATTCATGTATATTATTCATTGTGAATGTTTTATTTTCTCAAAATATTTATGACTTTTATTTAAAATTATTTGTAATTATATTAAACTTTTCTTCATTCCATTTATTTTATTTCCAAGAGTAGTTTTTGAAACAATCAATTTTCATGTAGAAATTTGGCAGATAATCAATTCAGTGGATCTATACCAAGATCACTATCAAGAAATTCTCAGTTAATTTTATCGTAAGTTGATTTTTTATTGTATTTTTGGGATTTCTGTATTTCTTTTAAATAATTTTAATTTTTTTAAATATTTTTGTAAATTATTTTGCAGAGATACAGGAAACCCCTTGCTGTGCACCAACGTTACGTCTTGCACAAGGAGTAGCTCAAATAAAAAGAAAACCATTAAATTTTCGACGATACTCACTATTATCATTCCGGTGTTCTTCATTTTCTAGGCTATCATCGGTATTTTTAGTCATTTTCGTCACATACAGGTCAGATTCTGTAAATTAGTTATTCAAACTGTATTATAGCAATAATTTGTTTTAAATAAATTTTTGATTTGATTGTTTTCGTCAATAGTTATCTTGTAGTCGTATTTATTGGTTTTATTTACCTGTTTGCTTAATTTATGTGATGAATATATCAGGAAATAGAGATAGGAGTTACAAAGCAGATGGTCCAAGTAATGGTACATGAGAAACTGCGACTGGGGATAATTTTGACGACAAAGGTGTCAGCATCTTGAAAGGGAACACACTAAATATCAGTTCTATAGCAAAAAAAATTAGAAATTCCATTTTCGGTCTACAAAAAATGTTATATCACGATGCATCGTTCGAATATGCAACAAATATAGGTGTATATGTATGTGTGTGTACTAAATTTCTTGATGTTAATTATAAGTGAGGGCGACGACTCTTACCATAGTAAGCACTTACCGGGTAAATTGTTGCATGCGATGTCGTTTTCGTGGACTAAAATCTCACCCGATAAGTATATAATAATGTTAAATTTTATTGATAAGCACTTACGAGGTAGGTATTTGGTAAACAACCCCTTAATGTCTCAATGAAATTGTGTCAAAGGATTTCTATAACATAGGTAACAAATAATGTAATTTTTAAATAAGTATTTGTATTTTTTAGAAATGCTGTAAGTTGCTTCTGTTTAATACGTTCATTGTTGATAATAATGTGATAACACGGTGATATTGATCTAGTTTTGCCATGATAATAATTTGATAAATGGAAGACTTTTTATGATTTATGATTTTGTTGTTGATAGCGATGTGATAATGTTGTGAATCGAGAATCGTGATAATCACGTCTATATTCATCATCCTGTCTATTCATTATGCGATTTAACTGTGATAATAATGTGATAATTATTTGATACCATTAGCATATTATATGTATTAGATTTTAGAGGTAAGAATGTCAACAAAATTACAGATAAAATACAAAATATAAATGATTATCCTTAATTAATTATTTTCTTTTCTTTTAATTTTAATTATGGGCTAAATAATTTGGAGGCCTATAAATATTCTCGAGTTCCTGTAAAACATGAGTGTTCTCATTTGAACCTCCACACGCCCACACACACACACATATATAGATATAGATAGAGAGAGAGAGGGTATCGATCAAATACAATTCTTCCTATTCTTACAACCCATACAACTTCATCTAAAAACCATCCATTTTTTTTTTTGGTTTTTTTAATTAGATTTCAACTGATTAAATTGTAACCGTTGATGAAAATAATGAATGATTAAGATTTGGTTGTATTAGTTGTAACAATTAGAGAACTAGTGTTCGACACCGCGCGTTGCATGACGATCAAAACTCAATTTAAGAAAAGACGTAAAAGCCTCGACTCGAGCGGAAATACAGTGTGTCTGAAAACTCTGGATTGTATTTATATCCAACACCGTAAATCATGAATACTAACATCAGATAAAAACACGTCATTAAGTCAACACTTTCATTCTATGTATATATAAGAGACATTTATTATTATAAGTACTACAATGATCACAACTCTTATTAAGAAAAAAGTATCATTTGCATTCGTCTAGCACAAAAATTTACCAATCGGTTGGTTTTGATTAAAAAATTCGTTTTTACGTGACTTAAACCACTTTTTTTATTTAAGACTTCACAAACGGTTTGGATTCTTTTTAAGCTTGCGGTTTCGGGTCGTTCCGTACGATCGATTGCCTTTCCCACTGTTTCTCCTTTCGTCTTCAATTTCTTCTTATCACCTTCAAACTCCAACACATATCTCGGTTTCACGCTTTGACAATAGTTTGACAGATCCCTGCAACCTTTCTACTCCTTAGGTAATCTATTCTCTTTCACTCACACACACACACACACACAAGTTTTATCTATTATGTTTGCTTCCATACAAGTTTCAAATTCCTACGGGTTAGGGTTTTTCAACTTCCCAAAATCGTTTACAGAATCATATAACGTTGGGTTGATAGGGAATCCTTTATTTCAGATTAAGTTTTTTTATCTTACCAGGGGATTCGGTATTTGTGTTTAGTTAAAGTAGCAGGTAATGATTGTGTTGGAATTTTCGTAGCCATTTGAATTGAAAGTGGAAGGTGGGTGTTGGCTTTCGTTTATTGTTTATGGTTATATTCTTTATCTTGTATGAAGTTAAAAAGTTGGGTGATTTTTAATGCTGTTGCAAGTTGTATCGGAGGGTATAGGATGTGTTTAGGTTGAATTAGATATGAAATGTATTGAATTTCTTATGGGTTTTCTGGGAATATGATAGCCATACACGACTGTCAAAGATACTTGTTTTTAACTCAATAGTGACATTCTATTGTTACAGCCATATGTTTATAACATTTTTAGGAGACTTTTATTAAAATATACTTGGTAATGATTTGATGCAAGTATAGTCCTGATTCGGAGAGTAGGGAAACAATAAGTAGTTTATGCTAACTAGATTATGTAATGACAAACTTATATGATTTGAGCATACCGGATTCATCCTTGTGCTCATCAATCAGTGCATGTTTTGGTTATATTGTTTTACTTGGTGAAGTGTATCATGCGTATTTTATTGGGAATGAAATCAAGGATATTATTGGTGTCAGTCAGGTTAAAAGAAGTCGATCACATTTGAGGTTATTCCTCATTCGCAAAATTGCTAATATTTAGCTGATATATTCATAGACGAGATATAAAATGCCTTCATATTTAAGGTGGATTCTTTCTTGTCTAGTATCAAATGCCAGCTATTTGGGCCATCACTTTAGCAAGTAAAGATCAATGCATCTGGCCGAGTACAGAGTTTTTTGCTCTGGTACTTATAGCATATACCATACCTCAAGACAATTGTAGTTTCAAGTTTGTGTGCTACTGGTGGCCCTGTGCAGACTGAATGTCATGTAATGGAGTTCATGGTTATAGCTTGATGCATAGAAATTTAGGCCCATATACAAAGTGGTACAAGTAAGATTAGCTGGTGTGATTTCTGATGTTCCTGGGATTGTATGCAGGGATGTCAACATATTGTAGCTGTTTGCCAGTAATTAGAATCAACTTTAATTTGAAAATGATTAACAAGTCTTCTGTTTTAAAGTAAATATAGCAGCTTCTGATTTATCATTTTTTGTTCCATCGCTGGATAGAATGGAAATGCAAATAAAGGTAGCGGAAATGCTGTTCTCTTATCACATGTGAATGTATCTATTTGAGAGGATACACTGTACCTTATAATTATTTATTCGTAATCTAGAATCACTAGAGGAGAACCTGACATGGGCAGGTTAAATAGTTCACCATGGAAGAGATAGGAAGGTTCTATGGAAAATGTGTCAAAAATTCATTATAATCTGACCGTAACAACTGAATTGATTATCTTCACTCATAAGGACACTGAATTACCTAGTAGAAAATTTCAAATCTGAACTGACAAACAAGTGGTATTTGTTTGGTAAGTGGTCACTTATTTTCTAGGGTCTAGAGTTTTGGTCTGTTTGAGGCTCCTTTTGTAGTTCAAAATGTACAGTTTGGCTAACTATTCTCTTTTTACTGTTTCTATCACTCATTTAGGATGATTATAATTTTACAATAGTGGGTTTTTATTATTGCTTGCTTTCTATTTGCGTGGCAAATATATTATGTGTGAATATCTTGGAAAAATGAGAGCATTTATTTGGTTATTTACTTATATCATAACATTATGAGAGTTTGGTTTCACTTCATATGATTGCTGCAAGCACCTTGTTAAATTCTAAAGCTTCTTGTAGTGACTCTGCTTTCTAAATAAAATATAATGTATAATTTAACCTAAATGTTTGTTCATCATCAAGGATATATTGTGCCATATATGTTTCTGTAAGTGAACTTTTTCTTTACATGACCTCATTGTTAATTGGTGTTTTGACTTGGTGCTCCGATTTTGCTTTTCTTTTCAGATAATAGGCTATTAAGGCACAGAGAGAGCTTAAAAAGAAAATTTTAAGCAAACCATCTTGAAGAAGAAAGGCACTTCGTGAAGGAACTTTTCTGCATGTCATTTTGACATTTTTTCAATGTCAGGGTTGCTTAATAATGTACTGCACGTTTCTTATCTAAATCATGCAAACGTGTTTAAGTAGCTTATCTGAGTGTGTTTTTTTGGTTTAGTTGTAAGAACTTTTGATGTATCATGTATTGTTTGGAGTCAAATAAATCTTACTTCAATTATTTAGAATACCATTTATTTGTATGCTTTGCTTCATAAAATCTCTTTTGAAATTTTGCTGTCTATCCTTCCATGCTGATAGTGTTTTTAGAGGGTGGGGGGAGATCTTGTTTTTTGAGGAGGGGGTCTATGTTGAAGTAAGCTTACAAGCTGGGAAACCACATGCATGATGCGACATTATTAAATGGTGAGAAGATCATTCATTTATCCTTAATGTTGAAACACACCTGGATGCTGATGTACTTGCTTACAGTTTAGCTTCTATTAATGTATTCATTGTGATTCCTTGTTTGCAATTATGTGAACTGTTTGCTCTTGGTTTGGCTGTGTGACACCAATATATGTCATTTACTTTGTTAGTCAGTGTTTTTCATGGTATACAATTGTTATACTTTGGTTGCAGTCATCTTTGAGCGGATCGGCTTCAAATCTTCAAGATAATACTGCTGGGCGACCATTTTCTACATCTTTTTCTGCCCAATCTGGTGCACCTTCTCCTGTTTTCCAACACAGTGGTGAGTACATTTCACTGATTACTATATCCATTTGTATTTTTGTTTTAACTAAATTTACTTAGAAATGCTCGTTGTGCAGGATCTATTCAGGGGCTCCATAACATACATGGCAGTTTCAATGTTCCCAGCATGCCAGGCACTCTTGGATCAAGAAATTCAACAATGGCTAATGTCCCTTCAAGTGGGCTTCAACAACCAAGTGGAAACCTTTCTAGTGGACGGTTTACATCAAATATTCCTGTTGCTCTTTCACAGGTAATTTATATGTACTTTCATGTTTGTACTTCCTTATCGTGATTCGTGGGTTACATTACAAAATATTATCTTAAATTGAATAAGTAAGGTAGAAAAAACAAATAAATGAATCATGAGAGCAAGGAAAAATTTAAGAGCTACAAACAATAGGTTTTACCATTCTGAATAGCGATTAATGTTCTAATAATCTTCTGACAATATTTCCACTTTTGAACGTTTTCTTTCTTCTATGATTTGTAATTTTGCAGATATCTCATGGCAATTCACACGGTCATCCAGGGCTAGCTAATAGAGGTGGCATGGGGGTTGTAGGAAGCCCTGGGTTTAGTAATAGCACTAATGCAGTTGGTGGTTCCATTCCTGGAATTCTCCCCACCTCCGCAGCAATTGGCAATCGTAATGCTATTTCTGTGGTTGGTGCGTCTCAACTTTTAGGAAATTCAGGTCCTCGAATTACAAGCTCAGCTGGAAATATTGTTGGTGGTGGTAGTGTTGGGAGAAGCATAAATCCTGGTGGAGGATTATCAATGGGGGGCCTTTCTTCTCGCTTAAGTTTTACCGCGAATAGTGGGTCTGGAAATATAGGCGTGCAGGGATCCAATAGATTAATGGGTGGTATGCTTCAACAAGGTACATTGCCTTAGTATAGTCTCTTCATAATGTAGCTATATAGGCTTCTGTTCTGCCACATAATTTCTATTTGTTTAGTTTATATAGTCCATGTGGAACTGCTAGTTTGACCTTCCAAAACTATGTTGTTGACCTATAGGTCTGAGGGTGCCAAATTCAGCAGCAGTCTTTCTTAATCTTATTCTGAATTTTGACCTTTTCTTGGAGATGGCATGATATAGGCAACTGCATGTTGTTATTTTCTTCTTGGTCACTTAACCTTATGTCAATATATGAGGATGAAGAACAATTCTTTAATGGGTACTGTTTCCTTACAAGTGATAAGAATTGAAACATTCACACCATTCTAGCCAGTGACTAGATGTTGTTCAGTTGCAATGCTTATGCTCTCTATAACACCTTTCTTGTTTGCCATTTTGCTGAAGAACAGAACAAAATATGTTTCATTTTATCATCTTGTTAACGACAAGATAGATTGCTTTTCTTATGTGATAAAAATTGTTAATGCTTTTAATGATTAATTTTTGTAATGAAAATTTTATCACTCATGCTTTATTCAATCTATTGCTTGCTGTTTTTGCTAAAGAAAAACATATCTGTCTTGATCAGCTTGTTACTGACAAGATAAATTTGCACTTCGTACATACTCTAATAAAGAGGATTAACAAAATGAATGCTGAATACTTTCCTGCTCATAAAACCTATTTGTTTTGGATAGTTGTCTGTTGTTGGGTTGTTTCCACCATGGCTGAGAGGTTTCTTGGAGTTGGCTTCTTGCTTTGTCCCTTATATGCTTGATAGTTGCTGGGAGTTCTATTGTGGTTGTTGTTATACATCTAAACCAGATATGTTTACTCTTTGCTATTTTTTTGTGTTTGAGTGTGGGCTTCAACCCAGTGATGGAAATAGGTACTATATTTGTCATAAGCTTTATTCTTGGTACTCATCTTTGGAGGCATATTTTTCCAGTTGTTGCCCGCTTCACATTTCTATGCTTGCTTTGCTCATCCTGTTTCTTCTTTCTTCTGTTAATTCTCATGTACTAATCACCTTAGCTTCATTCTCTCAGGCTTGGTTAAGAATTAACATCTCAAACTGACTTGTTGCTACCAGCCTACACTTTTTCTTTCTTGAATGATCCTTCTGTGATATAACCATCTTCATTATGTATCGGATTTCTTGTTTTTATGACCTTTTTTTATTCATTGAAACTCTCGTTCTTCTCTTAAAAATTATGAAAATTGTATGATTCACTGGCATGATGCTTATGTTGGTAGTGATGATGCTTTGATGCAGCTTCTCCACAGGTGATGTCTATGCTAGGAAATTCTTATCATTCAGGTGGTCCACTTTCTCAAAATCATGTTCAGGCAGTGAACAGCTTTAACTCTATGGGCATGTTAAATGATGTGAACAACAATGATGGCTCCCCATTTGATATAAATGATTTTCCTCAGCTAAGTAGCCGTCCTAGTTCCTCTGGAGGTGCCCAAGGACAAATAGGTGAATATTGTCTTAATTTTATCTTTGCATCTAAGATATTTAGTGCTTTTTATATATTAAAATTTAATCCAAAATATTTCAGGTTCATTACGAAAGCAAGGGCTTGGTGTTAGTCCCATCGTACAGCAAAATCAAGAGTTCAGCATCCAGAATGAAGATTTTCCTGCACTACCAGGATTTAAAGGTGAGATAACACTTTCACATGTGGTCATGCATGCTTCATAATGCTAAAAAAAAATTTCCCAGGTTATTCTATCCTATATTATTCGATGGTAACTTCACGAGCTTTGAAAAAGCAATGTATAGAGTTAGATTTTGATGCCCGATGTTATTAATTATGTATTAGATTTGTGCAGGTAGCAATGCTGATTATTCTATGGATTTGCACCAGAAGGATCAAGTTCATGAAAACAATGTTTCGATGATGCAGTCTCCCCATTTCTCTGTGAGTTAGAAGATACGGTTGTGCTATAATTGGTGCTGTCTTTTTCTTGAGTCTGCATCTTAACCTTCGTGGTTGATTATGCAGATAGGAAGGTCTTCAGGAACATTTTCATCACATCATCCACAGCAGCAAAGCAGCAGTGTCTCTTTTTCACCTGCAAATAATCAGGATCTACATCACTTGCATGGTTCAGATATGTTCCAAAGGTCACATTCATCTTATCACTCACAGGTATTATTTCTTGCTTCATTTGCTTGGTGATATGTAGTCATGGTTGAGTTAGATCAATTTACATAGCAGCCTGTAATTTGATTTAAGTTTGTTCCATATAATAACAACAAAAAGGGCATTTGTTATGGTGCTGTTCTCGCTTATGCTGGTCGCTGGAGGAGTCTTGAGTTCAAGTTTTTGGATGATTAAGATAAATAACGCTTAGATTCAACTTTCTTTTTAACAAGCAGCCAAGAACGTTTTTAAGTGATTTTAGGCCGCAAAAAGCTTCTTGTTCTTTCTAGTCTATTACAATTTTGTTGTTAACTAAACGACAATTTTACCTTTGAAGTTGAATTTCTCCATCTCATAATTAAGTAGAATTAGGAAGTAGACACTTATTTTAGGACAAACTAAAATAGAAATGTAGACAGTTATTTTGGGACGGAGGTAGTAGTTCTGTAATTACTCACTGAACTATCTCTCTTGCGGCTGGTTACTGTTTGTAACAGATTAAATGGTCTTTGTCTTACATTTTTGTTCTTTAATTACCTGTTTATTGATGTAAAGATTGCTTTCCCTAAAGTTGGCCAAGTTTTTGCAATTTTGATTTAATTAATTGATTGTTTCTGGTTTGATAATAAAATGTAATAGTCTTCTGTTGTTTTGAATTGGTTTAGGCCAGTGGACCTCCAGGTGTGGGTTTGAGACCTTTAAACTCTCAAAACACAATTTCTGGAATCGGTTCGTACGACCAACTTATCCAACACTATCCACCACAACAGAATCAATCTCAATTTCGCTTGCAACAGATGTCTGCTGCTGGTCAATCATATAGGGATCAGGGTATGAAGTCGTTACAGGCTGCTCAAACCGCTCCTGATCGATTCGGTTTGCTTGGTCTATTGAGCGTAATTAGAATGAGCGACCCTGATTTGACATCTCTTGCTCTCGGTATCGATTTGACTACTCTTGGGCTAAATTTGAATTCGGCAGAAAATCTTCACAGGACATTTGGTTCTCCATGGTCAGATGAGTCTGTAAAAGGAGATCCAGATTTCACAGTGCCTCAATGTTATTATTCTAAACAAGCACCTGTCTTAAATGTGAGTTGGCTTTATTATCATTATTGATTGCAATCAACATCTATTCCAGAAATATGGTATTGGGAAAAATGCATTAAAATAGAACGAAGAATTTTTTTTGCTTGATTGACTTACAAAATTTCAAAAATTCTTTTTTTGTACCCACTTTGAGCGGTAACTTGTTGATCTTGTAATATTTTATGACATAGATGCCCGTTTAAATGTTTACTGAAGGGTTGTGGCAAAGTGGATAATATGCTTGACCCCTACGTTAACAAATATTACAAGATCAACAGGTTATTGGTCAAAATAGGTGATGGAAATCTGTTAACATTGATTGAAAAAAAAGAATTCTATTACATTGAATAGGAACTAAGATAAACTCAAAATGCATTTTACTCTGTTTATTTTGTTGCTCAAATGTCTGTTGGAATCGTTTCAGCAATGGTATTTTTCCAAGTTTCAGTTGAACACACTGTTCTACATCTTTTACAGGTAGATTTCTAGTGTCTTATTAGTTTTTTCCCTGTAGTTTCTATTTTACTAGTGATTTGAACTCGACTCATTTATGGTTTTTGCAGCATGCCTCAAGATGAAGCTCAATTGTACGCTGCAAATGAACTGTAAGTTATCCAATCAAGTTTAAATGTTATTTTATTTACTTTACGTTCATCATCCACGATATTTCATAGACTGTTGTAATATGGTAGGAGGATGTTTTGTTAAGAAGAGGTATGACTGTTGATTTCAGGCATAACAGAGGTTGGTTCTATCACCGAGAACACCGCTTGTGGTTTATGAGGGCTGCAAACATTGAGCCTCTCGTGAAGACAAATGCATACGAGAGAGGATCTTTTATCTGTTTTGACCCAAATACATGGGAAACAATACGGAAGGTTGAGTTTCTGTTCCCTTGTGGAAGTTCATTTAGAACCAACCAAATTATTCATGATGAACATACCTATTGATATTATTCATATTCATCATGAATAGTTGGTTGTTATGAATCTCAAAATATTTATGGTTCTTCCGTTTGGGAAAGTTTATTTAGGGACCATGAGAACCAACTATTCATGATAAATATGTCTAAACAGTCACAAATATTATTCATCATGAATATCATGTATATTCATAATGAATAGTTGGTTTTTATGAACCTGTAAATGTTTGTGGTTCTCAAATGAACCTGCTCCTTCGTATTCTTTTCTGATAATTGATTTCTGTGTTTTTGAAATCCTATAATTTTGCAGGATAATTTTGTTGTATACTATGAGATGGTGGAGAAAAGAGCAGCAGTACCCCAACATTGACAAGTATTTACATGTAAAGTCCCTCCCTTTTGGGTATTTCTATTATATATTATACGCGCAGGTTTCAGTTGTAGTGTTTAGGTCTAATTGGTGTATTAGTAGTAGTTGGTAATTTATTAATCATTTACATAGAGGAACATTAATTATTTATCATAGAAGCAGTCTTATGTTTGCTCATTTTGTTGATATTATGAAATGAAACAAATTTTGGTCGCTAGACATTCCAATATATATATACACACACACAAACACAAATAGTCTCTCTCTCTCTCTCTATATATATATATATATATATGTATATGTATATATTGTATGTGTGTGTGTGTGTGTTTAGGTGTTTACTGTAGAAATTGATTTACCCTATTTTAGCATCTTGTAGCTTTACGTTCACTAGGTTCACGACAAAGTCGGACTGGATTACTCAAACTATACCCTGATGTAACATGGGAAATGAAATAAAAGATGTGTGATTGATTAGCTACTTTGTGGAGCCTGTGAGAGCATATGAATTATACTAAAAGATGCATTCATGGTTATTACAAGTTGTGGATATTCATGGAAAGGGGTAGAGGAAAGGTCTTTGTACATCCTTCTATCCCAGACCCAATTCTGTAATGTGGACAACCTGAGCTTGAAGTTGGAAGTTTGTGCACTTTATGGTTAAAACAAGGTATGGTCAAACCTAGACTTGGAGGGTGTTTACAAAATGCTTAATTGGTAAGCCTTTATCAAGTCATTTATCTTAGTGGTAGCCAATGGTGCTAGAGGTGGTCATCTGTGGTGGTGACGACGGCAATCGGCAATGGTGGTGGAGGTGGTGGTAATGAGGTCGTGGAGATGGTGGGTGATGGTGGCGGCCGACAATGGATGGAGGTGGTGGTTGTGGATGAGGTAGTGGTAACTGATGGTGGTGGAGGTGGCCGTCATCGGCGATGGGCGGTGGTGACCATTAAAGCATAACAGGGTTGTGTTGGAGGGTGTATTAATGTGAGATTTTGAACAGGGACTTCGACTTTTTTTAATTCGAAGGCCCAATTATATATATATTTGATATTTAGTTCTCCTTATTTTAGCTCATGTAAGCTGGGTATAATGATTTAGCAGTTTAGCTAAGTGCTTTAATTCCTTTTCTCTCCGACCAGAAATGGCAATTTGTCGGATTCTGATTACGACTGTAAATCTGCAATTGCTTCTCCCAATAGCTAATTTTATCATTGAAGTATCAAGAACGTCTTTGTTTAATAATCTTCTTTTTTCGTGTTCTTTATGTCTCCCTTTCTAGTTTGATGAACCACCTCACCTCTAATTTTGTAACAATTTTGTAATTTTGTAAATCTGCAATAGCTTTTCTAATTTTGTTTAATAATTTTGTAAATCTGCAATAGCTTTAATAATGTTCCGACATCCACCGCCAACGACATTCACCACTGTACACATCACCGGCGACCATCACAATCCACCACCATCATGAACCGCCACCATACACCATGGCCGAAAATATGAAAAAGTAATCTCTTAAGTAGTCAAATCGATTGTCATTGAGTGGTCGCATCTTGTCATAGAGTGGGTCATGTCTTGTCATGGAGTGGTCATAAAAAACTTACTCGCCCTACCCCAACGATTACCCGGAAAAATGGGCAATTTTCCCCTTTCTAGAAAAAACCAGATTTTTATTCCCTATTTGTTAAGCATGTGAGACTCATCCGTACCAAAAATACATTTTTGCTCTACCACTTCCAAAATAGCCCGACTCAGGCGGTTTTGACGGTCTTCTTGTGAGAAATCTCTGAAAAGTTATCATTTTATAAAAGTTCATCTAGTATACCAATCGTTTTGGATGATTTCCCCTAAAATAACTGATTGAAGATTGTGTCAAAAAAATGTTTGGAAATTGATTGTATTCAAGTGAAATTTGTATGTAGTTGCCATTAATCAACAAATCGATCTATAATCTAAATACATGTGTAACAAGACTTGCAGAAATATTGGAACGACCCTGAAACCAAATACCATATTAGGGTTATATCAAATGAGAACAAATTGATAATTTTTTAGTTTTATCCCATCTTGTTTCACCTATTTTAGTGTTACAAAAATAGCTTTTTATATCCTACCCAACCCCTGTCTCATGTCACATCAAACGTGGAACAATAAATTTTGTCCTGTCTAATCTCATATACCAAACATAACCTAACACTTACCAGGTAAGAGACGCTTATGAACAATATTACTTGTTAGGCTAAAACCATGTGGACAGATGGCAAAATGGTTGCTAAAATTAACATTTTACCTCCTTCCAAGGAATGATTGAAAAATGTCATCAAAATGAAAAAAAGAACATGGAAACACGAATCTAACACAAAAGAGAGGTTTATTTTCCAAGTGGTTTATGGGTTTTGTGAAACCATCTCTCCTGTATTTGTGTTTGATCTTACTTCTAAATTCACGTCAATGAGGTTTTCCAACTCCATAAATTCATCTATTTTTGCATCGACGACAAGACTCCAAATGGCGTTACCCATTAATAAATAACCACCAAAACTCTAGAGAAAAAACGTTAGTTTGACGTTCCTTTCTACCTGTTTTTTGTCGTATCAAGATCCATTTTGGGTTCTTTGATGAAGAAGCTATTGTGAAGGCCGAGAGACTAGGGCTTTCAAAGCGGGCATTAACCTCTCCAGGAGCTCCTTTTTGCTCAAAGTTCTGTCCGATGTACAATCTTCTTCCTAATGTATATAAATATAACATACATATAACAACAGTAAAATACGAGTGAAATCTTTTAACCCAAAAGATGCAAAACTTTCTACTTTTGGTCATCCTAAAAGGATCCAACATTTGCAAATTTACCTATTTACCCATTAGCAATCATTTTGAGATGTTGACGAAAAACTTTCATCAACCTCAGCGATACATTTAGGTATATAACCTTGAATGAGATTTTAGTTAAATCCATGACCTGCTGATGAATATGAAGCCATCTTTTCTCTAAATAGGTTACGAGGTCATGAATTTTTTAACTAAAATCTTATATAAGATTATAGGCCAAAAAACTAACAAATACAAAACCATTCAGATTTCAAATGGTCTAATATCAATAAATATTATTCAAAAAACCAACATAACATAATAGAGAATGACTTACATCGCCCGTTGATGCTGATATTAGGGTCAAAAGTGTCACTGTTGCAGCATGGTACTCTTCTAGAGTTTTGTATGCTGAATCATCTAGTTTATCCTGAGATATCGAACACATAATGGTTAAGAAAATATCTGACCAAGGAAAACCATAAATACACGAATAGCATCCCTTATTTCTTGTCACCAGTTATAACTAATTTTTTGCTAATTGATATCACAATGCTGCTTATGTCATAACTACAGGCAATGGCGTTGAAATATTTGATGAATTAGTTGTGTGATTAGTTTTATATACGGTTCCGGCAAAAGGTCTCGGATGGAACTAAATGGCCAATGGTAGATGTAAAGAGATAAAAGGTTCAATGTGGTAATACATGGTCATAAGAGTATGTTTCTTTCTAACACAAGAATGCCTCAAAATCTGTCAGAAGGTTGTGCATTTAAAACCAACTGTCAGAAGGTTATTCCTAAATAACCCAAGATAGGAGTATATACGACACCCAGAAGCGCCCTGCCTCTGACCTGACCCCTCTCACACACAAGAATAACCTTCTCTCTATTTTTTCCAGAAGATGCAAGGATAATGTATAGGTCAAGTAGTACAATTTTTGCAAATGGGTAGAGAAGACTCTATGATGCAATTCAGTTTAGAGACAAAAGAAGCACACTAGCTGCCAGAAGTCCTTTAAAAACTTGTGCATGAACTTGCAGAAGAACCAAGAAAAGCTTTATACCTTCAATTTAGAAATTGCAACTGAAATAGTCCTCCCCGGTGCTTGAAGAGCTCTTGCGTAAAACTATGACCAAAAACAACAAAGTCAGCAAATGAAAAGCACACATCAGAATGTAAAATTCCGGTGTATACTTGATTCAAATTGGTAATGGAATAAGCATGAAATATAGGTTGTGTGAACCTGTATATAAAGTAGAGAAACAACTTTAGGCAGAATGGCGACGGGATCAGTTTCAGCAGAAACCTGAGCTGACAAATCCTGAAATGTTTCAAAGGAGTTTCATGTAACAAATACTGAATGACATGATGTAAGAGCAACAGCCGATAGGCATGGTCCCATGATATAGCCAGCATCTTGGCTTTCAGCACTCTACATGATAATAAATAGAGTCCGATTATAAAAACACCATTCCCAGTTTCTCTCACATAATCTTTCACTTAACGAAATTTCTTCTTTCTTTTTAACCTTCCAATTCTGCTTCTTACCCTGTTTGTACATCTGTCAAACACATACAGAAAGCTAAACGAAAACAAAGTAGTAATAACATCTCATTTGTCAAGCTTCTCCTACCTCTCAAACACCTAAATATGTGTCTTCACACACACACACATCTGTATGTGCGCATATATATATATATACATACATACATACATACATATAGTTGAAGCACAATATTAAACAGTCACTGGAACTAGAAGCTCGACGACAAAGAAAAACCATCCATTGTTCCCTTTTTCATGTTTTAACAGCCTCAAGGAAAGATACCTTGCGATACGAATGGAGAAGAGTTCTTTCCAATTTCTTGTCAAGCTTTTTCACGGTTAACCCACTATAGACATGGGAAAATGATACACATTGGTAAGTTTTTTCACAGTTAACTCACTATAGACATGGAAAAAGAGGAAACTTTAGAAAAAACACCAAAAGATTGACAAAGATTTAGAGTATTTTTCCTACCACTCATCTGCAAGTGCTCTTAGTGTTGTCATGTATGCTTCAACATGCTGTCACATAAAAGATTGGAGAACACAATATCTTATACGAGGTTAAGAAATAAATATAAAGGAAATGATTAAAGAAGAATTTGGCAGTGTTAGAAGTCGACTAAAGTGAAGGGTATCAATGTAGAAGCTAAGTAATCTCAAGGTACAATCTCAGAAACTAAACATTCATGTGAGTGATAAAGAATGATGAAGTATATATCATAGAACTACCAGTGTTTGTGCCCCTATTTTAAAAGTTTAATCAAGAGAACAAGGTAAAATAATGATGTTATAGCCTTATGCGTGACAAAGAAAATTTCAATTGAACAAATTGTTCAGGTCTCACTCCAGAAGTCCAGAACAAAGAGAACCCTCTCTTAACATTGTTTTACATTTTGCAAAAGATGTTCCTTCTACAAAGTCAGAATAAAAATATATTGAATATATTTTATTTCTACCACATGTATAAGTTTTCTGCTATTAACATATACAAGAATGCAAGAATGTCTAGGCATTGCTTTACTGGGAAGTGTTCAACTCTTCACACATAGTGAATGTGATTCTGAAATAGGACTGACCTTTCCTTCCAAAGCTTCAATAACTGCAATAGCCTTTACAGATAGAGGTCCGTCAAATTTCTTTGCCTATCATCGTATGAGGCAAAAAGATCAATTAATGTAACAACAGAATAGAAGAAAAAACAAAAACAAAAGGTCTAAATAAGCAAAGAAACAATAGTTCAAAGATTACACCAAAATATAAATTATATAAGTTCTCATACCAGAGCAATTCGGTCCCCAGAGGTAAGCGAAATCGATTCTGGATTGTCAGTGTCTTGAATGTCTAAACCATTTTTCAGCTTATTGAGCATATCCTGACGAGGAACATAATCAGTCACACGAGTCTAGTCGCATTGCATGGGCTCTAAGATAATAAAATTACAATGCAAAGATTCGTATTCGTTACCATATTTGATAAGAGCATGTCTACCATAGGGGCAGCTGTAGTTCTTAGTAAATGTCGGTGCAAAAGCGCCTGTAGCATCAAAGTGAGCAACTGTTCGGTCCATAAAGGCCATAATAATCATGCCTAGAATTTAAGTTATATGGTTACCAAGGTTGATGGGTTGTCTTCAAACAAATCTAGACCTTTCTCGTATAACTGCATATTTAGTGATGACTGCAACAGAGAGGTGCAAGGGACATTAGAAGACAGCATAACTATTACCCAAATTGATCTTTATGACACAAAATCATAAATTTATCTAGCATGCCACGAAAATGAGTTACAAGGACAGGAATCAACAAGCTGAGGTAACAGAGGGCGAGACCTGGCTTACCTCATCAAGTTTCTTTTGCAAATTATCAAGCAGACGTTTAATTTTTTGTCCATTATCTGTTAATGCAGCCTTTCTTCTCTCGTTCCATGCATTGAGCAGCATGGGTCGTAAATGACTAGCTAAGGGTACAAGAACTGTCTCCGAATCAATGCCTACAATATCAGACACTCTGGTCACAAATGAAAAAACACATACATAAGGAGGCTAAATAGGACAGCGCTGAACTCACCTTGTTCTTCAAAGTCTGGAACAAGTTCAGTTATCTTTTGACATAGTTCTTCTTCTGAAAAAATACCAAGGCTTTCCTCTTTTATTTTATCAACATCTTTCTTGGCATTTGATTTCGAGTCAGGCCCAAGTGACGAAGATGCAACCTTGCCTTTTCTCTGGTTTTTCTTTGATTTAGCAGGAACAGGTTCTTGATTATCTGAACTGTTATCAACTGCACCTGCCTTTGAATTTATGTTGGGTTTCCCCTTTTTTCTCTTTGATCCTCTATCTGCTGCTTGTTTGTTAGAACCACTTTCACTACTTGTGTCATTGAAATCAGCCGGAGCACCACTTGTTTCCTGTCCTGATTTAGCAACTTTGGTGACATGCCAGTCATCAGCAAGTCCAGTGCTAGATGGCCCAGAAAAATTAATGGTATCCAAATCTTTCTCCATACGTTCATACAGATCCTGCAAAAATAATACACAAAGCATTTTAACCAGAAAAATTGGGCAGGATTTGCTACCTTAGCCCAGTCGAAGCCCCACTAACTCCATAATAAATTTCTTTGCAATTAGCAAATACTCACAATGCACAAACACAATTTCTCTACCCAAACACCAGGAACTAAAGATGATTACAAGACCTTAAATGAACAACTACACCATTGGATGTGTTCCTTAGCCAATAATTTAACATTTCTCTCTCCGGATTTCAACCATCTTCAAATTAAGCACCTAATTCTTTCAAGATTATTAGATGTGACATCTAAGCCTAAAGGAAGACCAACAGAAGGGTGCTAAGCAAATAAATACAAAAAAGATAACAATGATAATATGGCTATATGGTAGGAGGGAAACATAACTCATACATAATGACGGTAATGGCATTGGCATGAGATGGTTCATGTCCAAACCAACCAGGGCACCAAAAACAAGTGACTCCATCTGCAGTAATTGTAGTTCTGTGGGGAGAAGACTTGACTTAGCATCTCTTAATTGCTTATTAGAGAAGTAATAATTTGCAGTCTAACGGAAGAGCTTGGGATGCCGTCTGAGGTCTACTTAGAAGCAGAGAAACCCAAGAAATTAAGTTAACATTCCAGCTACCTGTCTTGTTAACTGAATGCAGCGAGCAATGTAATATGTTTGATATGCTTAGGGAAATAGATATGACTTCATCCAGCATGAGCTACCTTCTGTGTCTAACATCTCTAGTACAATTGCTACTCATGTTATATAAACAACAGTACATGGAAAATATTACCAAAACTACCATTTAGTATAGAGGATGCAATTATCGCAAAAGTCCTTGTACCTTGACAAATCCAGTGCTGAAAACATATGAGTCCCCCAAAATGAGAGCTTTATTAGCCTGAAAAAGAAACAATAACAAATAATTAAGTAAGGTTGTCAATCCATCAGGCTTGTGAACCAAAATAGAATTTTTTGATAGAAAAAAATACTTTAAGTGTCGTCTGTACAGATGGACAAAGAGACAGCATCTTATGTGCATCCTGTGGACCAAAGGATGCTGGTAAAACCGAAAGCGAATCAATCCTGCATTGAGATAGTGAGGAACTTGGTGAACATATCCTTCCAACAAAAACCTATCTGTCCCAACATATTTATTAAGAGGCAGGAAGTTTATTTGTACAAGTTTCAGCATAAGTAATGCAACATCCCGTCGAAGGGAATAAGTGAATAACAAAAAATGTTATGGTGAAGAAACTTGTATAAGAAGCAAGGAAATGTATAAAAAGTGTATCCTATGACCAAGGTTAAATTTCTTACGATCCATAATCTATGCTCTTTTAGTGGCAGGTTTCATTCATCATATGATGGGGAATGAGAAATTAAAGATAAAATTGATACAAAAATTCAATGGAGGAAGGAGGCTGTTTGATTGAAAATATAACGAAAGGAAATTACACGCAAACCTTCCAGGGAATCTTCCCTTCTCGTAGCACTAAGGCTAGAGCCAATTATCAATAAGAGAAAACAAAGATGCCCCTCATACGACACCACCCCTCCTCTAAAAAAACTCTCTCCTCCAACCGTTTTAGCCACTTTCAGATTGCCCCTTTTTAGCCCTTCTTTTATAAGTCTTTTAACACTTGAGGACTGTGGATTATCTTATCTTGATCCCTATCATTACTCCCCTCTTCCAAACATCCAGAAATTGGTTTTGAATTGTTACTGCATCTTCCCAAGTAGCTTCATCCACAGATTGCCCCTTCCATTTGATAAACCATTGTAAGACTGTGTCGTGCTGAACCAGGACTGTACGTTCAGCCACAACGTGTTCTGGGACCGGCACATCCTCAACAGTTGCTTCTAGTTCTGGAGGTAAGATTGATTCTACCTTGTGGGGAGACACAGCCTTTTTAAGCAACGAAACATGAAAAACAGGATGAACATGTGACTCGGGAGGAAGTTGAACTTTATAAGCCACTGGACCTATTCGCTCCAACACTTGAAAAGGCCCAAAGAAACGTGCGGCTAACTTTTGATTGATACGTTGGACTACCGTCATTTGATGATACGGCTTAAGCTTAACGTATACCCATTCCCCTATTCCGAAGCTAACATCTTTCCATTTCTTATCAGCTTGTTCCTTCATAGTTGATTGAGAATTACTTAAATGAGCTCTAAGCTGTTTAATTGCCTCATCACGATCACGAAGTTCCTGCCCAACGGCTTCCACCCTTACTTCTCCAGGAACGAATTGTACTACCGATGGTGGTTTCCTTTCATAGACAATTTCAAACCGAGATTTGCCTGTTGAAACATGGAACGAAGAATTGTACCAAAATTCGGCCCACGGGACCCAGGATGACCAAGACCGCGGTTGGTCAGTTGCAAAACAACGGAGATATGATTCTAAGCAGCGATTTATAACCTCTGTTTGACCATCAGACTCCGAATGATATGCAGAACTCATGTGCAATTTCGTGCCCTGTAATCGAAAAATCTCTTATAAAAAATGGCTTAGAAAGAGAGGGTCTCTATCACTTACTATAGACTTCGAAATTCCATGATGTCGTATAACTTCACGAACAAAAATTTCAGCCACAGATCGTGCTGAATAAGGATGTTTTAACAAGATGAAATGACTATGCTTCGAGAGTCTGTCAACCACTACCAAGACCGCATCAAATCCTTTTGACTTGGGTAATCCCAAGATAAAGTCCATAGGTAAGTGTTCCCATATTGCTTCAGGAATCGTGAGAGGTTGTAACAATCCTCCCGACATAGTGGAACTGGCCTTACAACGCTGACTAACGTCACACGCTCGCACGAATTGTTGGACTCTTGCTACCATTCCCGGCCAATAAAGGTTGGACGCCAATCTTCGATAAGTCCGCAAATACCCAGAATCCCCTCTTGATGCAGTGAGGTGAAATTCAGATAACAATCCCGAAATGAATTTGGAAGTTCGTGGAATTACCAATCTGCCCTTGTAATAAAGTATGCCCTGTTTAACCTCATAACCAGGGTAATCATTCGGATTAAGAGTCCATCCTTGAACAATCTTTTTCAACCCCACATCTTCTTTTGCTTCATCAATTAACTGAGACCCTTGAACCCAAATTGGTTTTGACATCAAATGACATAGTTCTCCTTCATCAYCTCTTCGAGACAGTGCATCGGCAACTCTGTTTTCTTTGCTCGGTTTATAACAAATGTCAAAATTGTAACCCAATAGCTTTGCAATCCAATTCTGTTGGCCCGGGGTTGTAATTCTTTGTTGAAGCAGAAATTTTGAACTCTTTTGTTCTGTGTATACCACGAAATGTGTACCTAACAGATAGGCTCTCACAACTAAGACCAACGCCATAATTTCTCGTTCATAAGCCAATTTATTCAGATTTTGTTCGCTAAGAGCTTTACTGAAGTATGCAATGGGTTTTTGTTGTTGCATTAACACTGCACCAATTCCTCTACTCGAAGCGTCACACTCCACCACAAATGGCAAATTAAAGTCCGGTAAAGCTAAAACCGGAGCAGAAATCATCGCCTGTTTTAGCCCTTCAAAGGCTAACTACGCATCGTGAATCCATTGAAAAGCATCTTTCTTGGTCAAATCTGTCAAAGGCTTTGCTATACTCTCATAGTTTCGGATAAACTTTCTGTAATATCCGGTCAGGCCTAAAAATCCCCTTAGCCTCTAAATCTTTTTAGGAGATGGCCACTCGAGAACTGCGACTATTTTATCCGGATCCATAGCCACTCCATCTCCTGAAATTATGTGACCCAAATAATCGATCGAAGATTGACCAAAAGAACATTTCTTTTGGTTGACCACAAACAGATTGATCATTAAGATGTGCAACACCAAAGTCAAGTCTTCGATATGTTGAGACCACGAAGAACCGTAAACCAATATGTCATCAAAAAAGACCACCACCAATTTTACGAAGGATAGGTCTGAATATATCATTCATAACCGCCAGAAAGGTGGCTGGAGCATTGGTTAAGCCGAAAGGCATCACCAAATACTCGTAATGGCCATCATGAGTTCTGAAAGCAGTTTTCTCAATACTATCAGGTTTCATACGAATCTGATTATAACCCGATTTTAGGTCAAGTTTAGAAAAGAATTGAGCCCCTTTTAGTTCATCCAATAATTCCTCAACTACCGCAATAGGAAACTTGTCTGGAAGAGTAACTTTGTTAAGAGTGCGGTAATCCACACACATGCGTCACGAATTATCCTTCTTTTTAACCAAAATAACAGGACTCGAAAAAGCACTCTTGCTAGGTCGAATCATTCCCAGTGCTAATAATTCCCTTACCTGTTTTTCAATTTCTTCCTTCTGAACATGGGGGTATCTATACGGCCTCACACAGATGGGTTCATGGGGAGTTATTAGAATGATACTATGATCGTGAATCCGGTTTGGGGGCAATCCTTTAGAATCATCAAAAACATATTTGAATTGATCGAAAACCTCAGTAATTCCAGTGTTTGAGGACTAGATAAGGAAGACGATGTATGGATCTTCCCGGGTAATGTATTTTCCGACCAGAAAGCATTAGAGTGGTCCTCTAGRGATAACCAACTGTGCAAGGAAGACTGTGTTCCGAGAGCCCCAGACATTCCTTGAATACAATTAGAGACCCCTTGGAACATAAATCGCATGGATTGATGTTCCCAATTATGTACCACATYACCTAAGGTCCTAAGCCATTCCATACCCAACACCAAATCCAGATGCCCCATGTCAAATAACAAGACCTCTATGGTAAACTCACACGACTCTATCATCACTTTGAGATTGGGACACATTTGAGTAACCAACACCTTATTTCCATCTCCTAATTGTATCCGGATACCCGGAATGAATATCACAGAAGACCCAACGCCATAACCAATTTCTAGGAGTTAAAATTATGGGTAGCTCCACTTTCTACCAGTATAACCAAAGGAATACCTGAAATGGTGCCTTCAAACTTCAGGGTCTTACCACCCGAACTTCCACTTGAAGTTGCCCCCAAAAACTCCAATGAATTGCAACTTTCTGTGGGAAAATTTTCAGTGTCCAAAACATCTGGGTCCTTCCACGTTGTGAATTTCTCCTTCTGTCTCCGCCAATTCATCATCCCCCAAAAGTAAATCCGCAATTTACCTCCAGGCCCAAACTGTTGCCCACAGCGAAAGCACAATCCTTTCTTCCTCGTTCATCCCACTCAGAACGAGTAAGAGAACGAACCTCATGATTCTTATTAAACAGGTTCCCAAATTCAGTCGAAGCACTAACTAGCAGGCGAAAAATAGGGAAGGGTTTTTTTGGATCTAATTGTGAGGCCTGTGGTTTAGTTAGAGAGGAATTGGACTGAACCCCTCGTGATTCAGGTCGGCCCAAAAACGTAACTCGATCAGTGCCCCCAAAATTCAATCCAGGTCCAGGTCCAGGTCCCTGTGATACCGAAAACGATATTGGGAATTATTTCCCAACAAAGGATGAAACATCTCTTCCACATCTTTCGCCAAATACATAGCATCTAAACAAGATTTGGGTCGGTGTAATCGCACCCATTGTTTGACGTCATCACATAAACCCGCCAAAAAATATCCCAACGATTGTTCTTCCGGTAACCAAGAGATTAGGAATAACAAATATTCAAAATCATCAATGTAATCATGTATATAGGATACCTGTTTGATTGTTGCCAATTTTTCAAAAGGATTCTGGATTTCAAGATCACTGAAACGTTGGAGAAGTTCTTCGGTTAGTTGGTTCCAAGTAATTGCTTCATAAACTTGCTTCACAATAGTAAACCAGTGAACTGCTACCCCCGTCATGCTTAATTGTGCGAGTCGGATACGCGATTCGATGGGAGTATTGTTGATTTCGAAGTATAACTCAGCCTTTGGGATCCATCCCTGTGGATCGAAACAAGAGAATTCTGGCATTTTCACCTTCTTCACAGCCCACGGAAGAGTGTCCAGTTGAGACGGTGATCCACCTTGAGAGTGAATGACACCTCCGGGAAAAACCGAAGAACCCCATGAAGAAGACGTATCTAAGATGGGAGAATTACTGACAACGCCCTGAGAACCACTGCCATCAAGAGAAGGTTGTTTCTCTTGTTTTGCCACCTACGCCATAACGAACTTTTGGAATTCAGCTTCACCCTTCATCTCGGTTTCAATAGCCTGGATCGATGTTTTAATCTCCAAAACATCCGATTGCAGCTTCTGAATTTGTTCCTCATGTTGATCTACACGATTTTGCTAAGAATGAGTCTCCATTTGAAGCATCGGAAGATCACAAGCAGGTCGGACTAATGATGGGGAATGAGAAATTAAAGATAAAATTGATACAAAAATTCAATGGAGGAAGGAGGTTTTTTGATTGAAAATGGAATGAAAGGAAATTACACGCAAACTTTCCAGGGAATCTTCCCTTCTCGTAGCACTAAGGCTAGCCAATTATCAATAATAGAAAACAAAGATGTCTCTCATACGACACCTCCCCTCCTCTGAAAAACTCTCTCCTCCAACCGTTTTAGCCACTTTCAAATTGCCCCTTTTTAGCCCTTCTTTTATACGTCTTTAACACTTGAGGACTGTGGATTATTTTATCTCGATCCCTATCATCATATATAAACAAAATAGTCCAATACTTCAGCCTAAGACCTTAAAACACACGAAAAGGGAAGGGAAAAGGAACTAGTTCTTTTAAACGAGTAGCTAATAGTTCACACCGTTAATCACTGGTTTCCCAAGAACATGAGTTTCTTGAGGTTCTGCATACAAAATTAGTCCCAAAGCTTAATATGTTATACATACATCAGCAGAAACTCTAAAAGATTTGGTGAAGCGCATTGAAAATAACATCAGCCTTAAGCACCTCTAATATAATCGGATTTTATTATTTAGAAGTTGTACTTAATAGATGGCATTTCAGTTGCACAGAGTTCTACAGCATATACAATCTAATCAATATATCGGCCACTACATATTTACACCTCAACAAGTAATTCATCAATATAAAGAACAAGTAAAAACATCAAAGGTACAGCAATAACAAAGGCAAAATTTTAGTTGGCATCTTTTTAGTACCGCGGCAGAGCATCGCCTTAACCTTAGAGTGTTGCTAATATCCTCAAGAGGGAAACAGTAGAAAAGGAGAAAAATGCTGTAGCAGATCCCTTACCAGCTACCACGTTCTATGGCATCCTCTACAGCAGCATCCAGCATCTCAACAGTCGATGGGTGAACAAATAAAGTAACCAAGGGTATACCTTCAGGATACCTGGACTAAATTCACATGCATGACCACAATCTTGATCAGGTAAATATTACAAGAAGTTTTCCTTTGATCTTATAAAACTATATTCATATGGAGTTATTCCCCTCAAAGATATTTCCAGCACATTAAAATACAAGAGACCTATAATACCTGCAGAAACTGAATGGGTTGTGTAATTCCAAGTTTATGCAGAGCTTCATAGCTGACAACAGAGTTCTGTAACATACAGCAAGATTTAGTTCAAAATATCTCACTGAGAAAAAGTAAAAAAGGGGCATGCAGACAAGCTGCATAAAAACATGCTCCAGCTAAATTTTTGGGACATCATTTCCTACCTAGTACACTTCAACTTCCCTAAAATTAAAATATTTAGCATTCTCATACTCGTTAGCAGGTTGTACCATTCAGTTGTTTGAAGACCAGTTAAACGTTTATCAGCATGCCAAAAACAGTCTTCCATGAAAAAAATGTTAATGTTTCTATGGAAATATGCTGACTATCAAACTCATCCAACTATTTAGCTTAAGAAATTAGGCCCAACTTCTTTTATCACCTTCAATGCTTCTCTGGCTTAAAACAAATCGAGGTGCATAAATAGGGCAGACCTAAACAGAGTGCAAAAGCCAGCACATACTTGGGGCAAAGAATAAGTGCAAAAAGGAAGTCTTAACACTACAGTCTTACAATAGTAGAAGTGAGGAATGTGAATCACCCCGCTCATCCAAAAATTAAATTGTCCAAGGGACATCCAACAATTCCTATCAAGCATTCAAAATTGGTCATCCACAAGGATAGAACACAAAATAATTACTTTCCATAGTCGAACAATAAATTAGAAACTTACCATCTTTCCCCTATTATTGATTTTCTGACTCAAAAAACTTATAAGTAAGTTAAGAAAGATGTTGACAATAAAGGCATTGAAGGGATACATGTACCCGAATTGTGGATACAACAGGATTATTAACTATGACTTCATACCTGTGAAAAGAAAGAATCCACGCATTCCTTTTGAGCAATGGCAAACACCTGCATGATGTAATTACTAAACTAGATTACCAAATCAGGACTCAGACAATAAAGAGAAAGATGTGTGAATTTTAAGAAGGCCAACAAAATCAAGAATAAATTATAGCAGACCGTTAATCACTTACACTGGGTGTCCAGTGAACTCCAGCACGAACTGATCCAAGAACTTGCCCTTCCTTCACCAACCCATTGAACATTGATTGGAAAAATGATCCTTCAACAGCCACACCGCTTGCACCATCCATTTCTTGTAGTAATAACTGTAACGACCCCCACAATGCTGACAAGTTCATAGGTACAGTGATACCCCTAGCAGCCCCACGGACCATTGCATTAACGCGTGCAACATATGCTGGTGTGTACAGTTGTCCACCTTCAAGTCTACCTTTTATCTACATGTCATACAACAATATAGTACTCATCAGGTGTATTAGACCGCTTTACATATTATTCAAGTGAATGAAAGCTTGAAGCTTTAAGAAACATAAAGCATGTTGCTTTCTGCTTATAAGCTATAACAAAATATCACAATAAAAACCAACTGCCTTGAGATGATCTGATGCAGTAATACCATCTTTCCTACCAAGTTTGATGTAATATACACCATGAATAATGTAATACTACTACATCCGCCATTCCTACTAAATTTATTAAACCTCCTTCATTCCTCTTCTCATGGTTCCCAGCACGAACTTATCATCATATAGTGATAGACACTAAAAACATAAAGATTTGTCTATAAATGTGACTTTCTTTCATTCATCTTATTTTGTTACTTACCCTCAGACTACAAATAGGCACAAACTGTTGAGAAAGAGTCTGACCAGGTMATTTGCAGATTAGTTTTTAGTCGTGAATAAACTCCTGTTTTGTAGGAGTAGTTTGTTCAACTCTCTTGTTTTTAGCTTYAGTAGTTTACGTTCTTTTAGCTCCTTTTGTTAGCTGTAAATGCTCTATTTAAGAGCCTCCTTTCTATTCAATAAGATACCAAATTGGTTTTGGTCATTCTGTGATATAGTTCAAAAGCTATTCCAGTTTACAAGTGGTATCAGAGCCCTATTACTGGACCTGATCAAGAGTGCAAAGAAAGAGAGACAAACGAGAAAGAAAAGAAGAGAAAGAAATGGCAGAAGGAAAAGGGTTCGTACAGCCCTCGATACCAAAGTTCGATGGTTATTACGACCATTGGGCCAGATTGATGGAGAACTTCATAAGATCGAAGGAGTATTGGGATCTTATTGAACATGAGATCTCGAATGAAGGCGGATCTACACCAACGGAAGCACAACAGAAGGCGAGAAATGAGCAGATCTTAAGGGATTTGAAGCTGAAGAACTATCTGTATCAGGCAATTGATTGAGATGTTCTGGACACTATCCTAAATACAGATACATGCGGGTTCAAGGAAAGTCAAGCGAGCGCAGTTGCAGGCTCTAAGAAAAGATTTTGAAGTCCTAAGTATGAAGGAAGGAGAATCGGTCAATAGCTACTTTTCTCGGACACTGGCAGTAGCTAAAAAGATGAAGAGTTGCGGGGAGAAAGTCCAAGAGAATACCATTACTGAGAAAATTTTAAGGTCATTAACAATGAACTTCAATTATGTGGTATGTAGTATCGAAGAGTCAAATAACCTTGACACGTTGACCCTAGATGAATTACAAAGCAGTCTACTTGTCCATGAACAACGAATGAGGGTCAATGTTGAGGAAGAGCAATTCTCATAATTGCAACAGAAGAAAGATCGGTAAGTGGAAGAGGGCGTGGAAAAGCTAGGGGCTCGTTTAGAGGTGGTAGAGGACGAGGAAGAAGTTTCGGAAGGTCCATGGTAGAATGTTACAGATGTCATAAGTTAGGACATTTTCAGTACGAGTGCCCCACGTGGGAGAAGAGGCAAACTATGCTGAATTAGATGAGCATGAAGAGCTTCTCTTGATGGCATACCTTGAAAGGGAAGGAGCAAAAGTAGATCAGGTATGGTTTCTTGACTCCGGATGTTCAAATCATATGACAAGAGACATGAAATGGTTCACTGCCTTTGACGATGATTTTTCCCACACGATAAAATTGGGAAACAGTGCTCGTATGCAAGTAAAAGGGAAAGAAAGTGTTAAAATCAAAGTTGAAGGAAGAATTCATGTAGTTGATGACGTGTACTACATTCCCGAGTTAATGGCGAATTTATTGAGCATGGGACAACTACAAGAGAGAAAGTTGTCACTTTGGATACAAGACGGGCGCTGCAAGATATTTCACGAGAAATATGGGCTCATCTTACGATCAAATATGACAACAAATAGAATGTTTGTTCTATTGGGAGAAACTGTTCCTTCCTCTTGCTTACAAGCTACGCTAGAAGATGTAACAGACTTATGGCATCAAAGGTATGGGCACCTAAGCTATACCAACTTACAACTATTGTATGGCAACCAGATGGCGCGAGGGTTGCCTGAAGTGAAAAGTTTGAGCAAAGTATGTGAAGTTTGCAATAAAGGGAAGCAACATAGAGAAGCCATTTCAAAACATGTCAATTGGTGAGCAGAAGAATGACTGCAACTTGTTCACACAGATTTATGTGGACCAATTACTCCAACTACTTCAACTAACAAAAGGTACGTTTGAGCTTCATCGATGATTTTAGTCAAAAAAACTTGGGTTTACTTTTTGGCAGAAAAAGGTGCAATGTTCGAGTCTTTCAGAATCTTCAAAAGCCTGGTTGAGAAGGAGACCGGGACGAGCATTCGATGTCTAAGGAGTGATAGAGGTGGCGAGTTTAAATCAAATGAGTTCAACAAGTATTGTGCAGCAAATGGCATTAAAAAGCAACTCACCGCGGCCTTTACTCCCTAGCAAAACGGAGTGGCCGAGCGTAAGAATCGAACAATAATAAACATGGTTCGATGTTTGTTAAACAAGACAATGCCAAAGGTGTTTTGGGCAGAAGCGGCACAATGGAGTGTGCACATACTTAATAGATGGTCGACGACTGCAGTTAAAGGAAAGGCTCCATAAGAAGCCTGGACCGAGTTCAAACCAAATGTTGAACACTTCAGAATTTTTGGATGTGTTGCTCATGTACACATTCCAACAGAGAAACACTTAAAGTTGGATGACAAAAGTCTAAAATGTGTATTCCTCGGGGTAAGCGAAGAATAAAAAAACGTACAGGTTGTTTGATCCAGAAAAGAGAAAAATAGTCACTAGTAGAGAAGTGATTTTCGAAGAAAACCGAAGCTGGGATTGGGGGAGGAGCCTTGAAGATAAAGTCAAAAACATTTCAATATTGGGAGAAGAATCAACAGAGGAGCATGGTGAAAGCTCTCAGACCGAGTCACCATTGATGGCAAGTGAAGAGGAATTGTCTGGTCAAAGTTCGGTGCAACAAGTTCAACCAAACCCGCAACATGATCCACCTTCCGATAGCGGTGAAGGTGAACTTTCCAACCAAAGAATAGAGTCTATACGAGCAACTTGAGAAAGAGTTCATCCATCATATCTCCAAGATTATGAGAGTGGTGAGGGGTTATCCGAGGAGGAAGATCTAGCAATGTTTATGTGACATGATGATCCAACGAACTATCAAGAGGCCGTAAAAGAAGTAAAGTGGAGGAAGGCAATGGACTCAGAATTAGAATCCATCGAGAAAAATGGAACATGGGAGTTGGTAGACTTGCCACCTAGGAAACAAAGATCGGAGTAAAATGGGTATTTTGAACAAAGTTGAACGAGAAGGGAGAAGTTGATAAATATAGAGCCTGACTCGTAGTGAATGGCTACTCTCAAAGGTACGGAATTGACTATGATGAGGTATTTTCTCCTGTCTCTAGATGGGATACAATTCATATGTTATTAGCAGTGGCAGCAGGAAGAGGATGGAATGTATTTCACATGGACGTTAAAAGCACCTTCCTTCATGGAGACTTGAAAGAGGTTGTTTACTTTGAACAACCAGAAGGATATTCTCAAGAAGGTAAAGAAGACAAAGTCTATAGATTGAGGAAGGCCTTATACGGTCTCAAGCAAGCCCCCGGGCTTGGTATAGCAGGATCGAGGAGTATTTCTTGAGCAAAGGGTTCATGAAGTGCAGTCAGGAACTCACCCTTTTCATCAAGTGCGGAAGCAACGCAAGCCTCATACTAGTAAGTGTTTATGTAGATGATTTACTCTTTACATGGAATTGTCTAAAGCTATGCGAAGAATTCAAGAATTCCATGAAAAAGGAGTTCGATATGACAGACTTGAATTAAGTTTTTCATGGGGGTTGAGATACAACAAACTGAAGATGGAATCTTCCTTGGCCAGAAGAAGTACGCCCATAAGTAGTAACAAGGTTTGGCATGGAAAGGTGCAATGTTGTGAATAATCCTATTGTCCATGGATTGTCAAAAGAAGGAGGTGAAGCTGTCGATGCCACACTATACAAGCAACTGATCGGATGTTTGATGTATTTAACCACTACAAGACCGGACATCATGTATTTGTTGTGTTTTTTGAGCAGGTTTATGGCCTGTCCAAAAGTAGCGCACCAGCTTGCTGTAAAGAGAGTGCTTTGATACATCAAAGGGACCGTGGAGCTTAGGTTATACTACAAGAAAGGTTTTCAATGTGATCTAAAAGCCTATACGGACAGTGACTATACGGGAGATGCATATGGTGTGAAGAGCACTTCAGGATATGTGTTTCTAATGAGCGGCGCGGCTGTGGCATGGAGTTCAAGAAAACAACCGGTTGTTACCCTTTCCACCACAGAAGCGGAATTATTCGCAGCTTGTGCTTGTCAAAGCATTTGGATGAGGGGAATTCTCAAAAGCCTTAATCAGAATCAAAGTGCATTACAATTTTGTGCGATAATAGCTCCTCAATCAAGCTTTCAAAGAATCCTGTTTTCCACGAAAGGACTAAGCACATCAAACTATCAAAGTGAGATTCCACTTCCTGCGTGAGTTAGTCAAAGGAGAAATTCAGCTCGAGTATTGTGATACTAAGGAACAGGTTGCTGATATAATGACAAAGCCTGTGCAACTTGAGACCTTTTTCAAGCTTCACGAGATGTTCAGTGTTCGGAACTTCCATGTTGCAAACTGAGCTGCTTAACCAGGTTCAGTTTGGGGGAGGAATTGTTGAGAAAGAGTCTGACCGGGTAATTTGCAGATTAGTTTTTAGTCGTGAATAAACTCCTGTTTTGTAGGAGTAGTTTGTTCAACTCTCTTGTTTTTAGCTTCAGTAGTTTACGTTCTTTTAGCTCCTTTTGTTAGCTGTAAATGCTCTATTTAAGAGCCTCCTTTCTATTCAATAAGATATCAAATTGGTTTTGGTCATTGTGTGATATAGTTCAAAAGCTATTCCAATTTACAAGAAACGCAGTAACGCAACTCTACAAGATTTTAACGCTAAATAAAACAGAATCGAGAGATTTCCTGTATTACCCGGGTGCCAAGTCGAGGTTCCAACACGGTCACAAGCAACTCCGAACCAACTTGCAACTGAGCCGCAATCTCAGCAAGCGCAATCTGGCTGCATTCTTGCAGCCGATCGTTAATCTCCTCACAAACATTATTCCAATACCAATCCGATATTATTTCACCATTGATCAACATCAGCAACGAATCATCAGCTACAACAATCTGTGCTTGTTTCTCCACATGATACAAATCAACACCAACAATATCCGCAAGATCAATCAACGATACACGCCCTAATTTCTTTATCTCTGAGACAATCTCAATCCTTAGATGCTCCTAACACCCACAAGTCGAATTATCATAAGAAATTAGAACAAATGAATCAAAATTACACACAAGAAACCGACTGTACATACTGGAGTGATGTACTCTTTGCCGGATACAGTGTGGAGGAGATCGAAGTCGATTATATTGAGTTGTCGGAGCTTTTGAACCAATTCAACGACGTTTCGTTCTGATAAACGAATGCTTGATTTAGCTTGTTGAGCAGATTCAAATTGCCTTTGAAGTTCGAGCAATTCTTCATCCATCTCTTTGATTACTGATTTTCGATCACTTCAAAGCGTTGTGGTTCGAGGGTTTAAGCAAGAGACAAAGATGCAGCAGCAGTAGCAGATTCCTCAAACTTGATACCGATCATCGGTTACGTAAGTAAATTTGGGAGAAATAGAGATGCTCGTGATTTTATATTTAACTATAAAAAAATGTGACATTTATTTTTAATATATAGAAAATATATTAAAATTTAGATGTCAGATAAATACAAGAATAATAATAAAATAACTTTCAAATCACATATATTTTTATATAAAAATTATATGTAAAAATCACATTTGATTCAAGCAACTTTAGCTGTAACATGAGGCTACAGGCCATGTGATTCCAGCCACTTTGATTGTGTTATGAAGCCTAACCGGCTCAAAGTTTTTGATGTCCTAGACGAAAACGTTAAAACATGCTCCAACCAGGAAAAAAAGCAAATCTATTTTAAGGTTTGTAAAAGTGTTCAAATAGTGTTAGTCCATATCCAGTCATTTATTCGATTTCTTCCAATAAAATGGTGTAAAACTTTGTATTTTTTTTTATTTTCTTGAATCATAATATATACATACACACACATATGTATATGTATATATATATATATATATGTGTGTGTGTGTCATTTTTTATGATTTATTATTTATACATATATATATATATCATATACGAACTAATATAAGTTTATATATAATATCAATAAATATTATAACTAAAATAGCATTTGTTATCAAAAAAATTAAAATTATATAGACATCAAACTTACATAAATATAAATATTAAATACCAAATTTGTTGTATATTTCACCAACATCAGTTGGTGTAGAATTGTAGTGAAATTATGAGATATAAAAATGAGATTTGGTGATGATGAGATGTCATTTACCGAGCAACAAATTCACACTCAATTTCTTGAATAAACATTTTTGACAAAATTATACACATAACAAAAATAATAAGTTTTCAAGTATTATTATAGAGTCTTCTTAAAACAATAAGTTATACAAATATAAATTGTGCTATTAATTTTATTTCAATTAAATATTTATTGTTGTAAAAGCACGAAAAAAAATGAACTTTAAAGATTAATCGGAAGTGAAAAAAAGAAAACAGGGAATAGAGAGCAAAATATTAAAAGCGAAATATAGATAAATATAAACAAAATAATCTTTAGCTCGTTAGTAAAAGTCTCATGTTAGATGACTCGAGTTCAAATCTTTCTAATAACAATTCAATTAAATGACTATACAACTAGTATTGAGCTATTTGATGCCCTTGGGGTTGAGATACCGTGGGCTGCCGCCCGGGCTACCCACCCATAGGGTCGTCCCTGCATGAAGTCATGAGTCACGTCGCCCGCATATTTTTACGTTGACCATTAGCGTATGATCATATGTGATTTTACACATGAATTGATCATTTTCGTGTTCTTTTTATTTAGTTATTTAAATGGATAAAATGTTACAAAAAATTGGTTTAAATCCTATTTAAGGTTAAAAAAGAAAGGTTTTCTTATCGATTATCTTAATAAAGTTTTAAGATTTTCAGTTATGTGTTCATTTTGAAGGTAACCTTTTAACCTTATAACATTTATAGATATGATAAACCCAAAACTTAATCAAGGTTGGTCATCCAACGATTGATTGCAACTCCAGATCAGGTGGATCAGAAAATGAATGATCCACGAGAATTTAGAGCAAGGAGAGATATTGAGAGTACAAAGAACATAAAAGATGAGGAAGAAGGTAAATCTATTTCATATCTTCCAACTCGTACAATACTGAATATAAGGGAAAGGTAATAACAAAAATAACAACCCACTACAAGAGATGCTTACAACTGTCCGTATTTAGGTGAGATGCTGACATCTGTCAACCCACCAAATCTATTTATTTAAGACAGAATTACCCCCCTGAATTTTGAATCATAACAATGCCTTCCCCTTAAGAGAATCCTTGTCCCCAAGGATCAAATTTTGGATACTCCATGTCTATGGTGACAGCTTCTTCCCATGTGGCATCTTCTGCAGGTATTCCCATCCATTTCACTAGCCATTCAATGACTGTTTGTTGTGCCTCTTTACAGTTCTTTTTTCAAGGACTTGTTCAGGAATTCTTTCAGCTACACTGCCAGATATAGTCAAAGGAGCAGCCCCTCTAGGTGGAGGACCATGATGTTTTTTGAGTAGGGAGACATGAAAAGTGGGATGGATACT